AATTATCATAATAGTAATAATAATAATAATAATTAATAATTAATAATAATAATAATACCATAGGAAAAAAGAAAGGTATCATTTGTATACCAATAAAAGAAAACTAATAATAACGTTTATTGAATCATAGACAACAATGCTGTCGTTGTTAATGGTGTATGTACTTTTAATATAAAACAAAATACACCATGATAGAGACACGGTGCTAACATGTCTCCAACTAAACGATGCTAAAAAAAATATTAATGTTTTTTGCAAAAGCCACAGTAAAGTAAAAAATAGAAAAGAAAAAAAAAGTAGAAAACAGAGACAGACTTATTAATGCAGCCATATGTTTGATTAATATAGATATTTTTTTCTTTTAACTAATTTTTTTAACTCGTAAGAAGATACAAAAAGAAAAAAGTAAAAGTAGAAAGAAAAATGGAAGATGGAAAAAGAGAGAGTGCTCAAGACAACTATTTTTTATCACTTAGAAATTTTCATAGTCCTGCTGTGATCCTGTAGATATATCACCAATATTATTGCTCGTATTTTAATATTGAGAAGAAAAACAAAAATGAAATATTGTAATTGGCATGCTTTATATTGAGAATTTTGTTTGATTTGATTATCGAAAAGAAATCTCATTGAAACATAATTTTATATAGTTATTTATATATATATATATATATATGTATCTATGCAATATTTTTTATTTTATCATCATTATTATTATTATTACTATTATTATTATTATTATTATTATTATTATCATCATTATTATTATTATTTTTTTATTTAATTAACTTCAAATTCTACAGATCACACACACAGAAAAAGGCGAGCATATCGCCTGAATATATAGCTTCTCAAGTATACAAAATATGTACTCCACATACATGCATATATACATACATACATATACGAAATATTTCTATTTATATATATGTATTTGTACAAGGTGTTCTCTATTCCTAAAATTTTCTCATATTTGTAACGATATGCTCGTCTTAACTCGAAATTACATAATATTTTTCTAATAATAAAAAGAGAGAGAAAGAGCGAGAACGAGAGAAAGAGAGATAACAAAATAAAAAAATGTTTCGATGAGAGACGACGCAAAGATTAACTTTTATTCGTAATTTAAAAAAGATAAAAAATAAAATAAAAATAAATAATAAAAAAAAAAAAAGAAAGAAAGAAACAAAAAAAAGATGAATAAATAAATTAATATAATCTCAAAAAAAATCGCCATTTTTTATTAAGCTGATGATCTTGGATGATGGGTGTCATGTTTTTTTAAAAAGGAAAAAAGGAAAAAATCAGATGCAGCATATCATCATACATACATGTATTTAAGGACCACAGTTGAATATTATTATTATTAATTATTACTATTATTTATTAATTTTCTTTTTTTCTTTTATTTAAACTACTGAAAATGGAAAGAACCAAATTCGTTCTAACTTTTCTCTGCGAAAAATTCAATATGGCAAGATGCAGCAGCAAGACAAACAAATAAATAAACAAGCATATAACAAATAAGATTTGTGAGCAATTTGCATATAATTAAACTTAGATATATATACATATATATATATATATATATATATATATATATATATACATGCATACATACATAGATACATACACACATATGTACAACATTTCTTACGCAAATTGGGTCACACATCAATTGGATAGAATGAACAAATTTTTTAAAAAGAAAAAATTAATAATGGAAGGAAAGAATAAGAGTAAGAAGAGAAAAAAGAAAATGGAGAAACTTGAGAGAAACAGAAAAAGAGAGAGAGAGAGAGAG